CACACACACACACACACACACACACACACACACTAGCAATGCCAATGGGTGTTCCTGGCACAGGTGTGGGAGGGAAGAGAGAAGTAAAGACACCTTAGAAAAAGTGAAAGGCAAGCCACAAATTGGAGGAGACATCCCACACACACACACAAGCCACAAGCCTTACAATCTGCAAAGGGTAAGCATCAAAGATACATAAAGAACTCTTGCAAATCCACAGGCAAAACACAAGTAATCCAACAGAAAAACAGATGAAAGACATGAACAGGTATTTTTACCAAAGAAGAAGCACATTTGTCCAATGAACATCTAAGGGGGATGCTCAGGCTCATTGGTGATGAGGGAAATACAAATGAAGACCACAGATGAGACACTATTTTACTGTCACTTGAAGGGCCAAAATTAGCTAGCCTGACAGTACCACGCGCTGGAGAAGAGGTGGAGCCACGAAATCTCCAATGCCTTGCTAGTCAGAGTACAACTCAATGTAGCCACTGGTGAAAATAATCTGGCCTTATCTTGTTGAACTGAGTCCCAGCAGCTCCACTCTAGGCATAAAATCAAGAGAAACTTTGGCATGTGTTGCAAGAGACATGGACAAAAACATTCAAAGCTACACTGTTCTGAACAGCAAACGTCTGGAAATAACTCAATGCCCACTGACAGAAGAATAGATAAATTACAGTAGATTCATTCACAGCATGGCATATCGTTCAGCAGTGCAAGCAAATGCACCAGTTTCACTCAATATCACAAATGAATCTTGGTACTATGCTGTTGACTAAGAAAGCCAGTCCCAGAAGACAGATACCATTCCTGTGAAGTTCCATACCAAGCCCAACCATATCTCTACAAACAACAATTTTTGTTACTTCTACTACTTTTGTTATTAGGAAATACACAATTATCCACCCAAAGACTTAAGAGTATAGTCAAGACTCCAGAGTAATACTGAGAAATTATTAGAATCAGTAAGAAAATGCAGTTGGCTTGCCAGGTACCAAAAGAATACATAATAATAATCTGCCTTCCTATGCACTACAGTAAATCATTCAAACTGTAAGGGAAATATCCTATTCAAAATAACTGCACACTGTGAAATATCTATAAGTAAACTTACTAACAGTTATGCAGGACCTATATGAAAACAATTATAAAAATCAGTGTATAAGATGAAAGAAAACCATACAGCAGCTTTTCTGCCTTTCCTTACAAAGAAGCAAAATTGAATGGAATATGGTCTCAGCATACATAGTTATGAGAAAACTCTTCATTAAAAAAAAATAAGGACCGATTGTCACAAAATTCAGGTTACCTCAAGAAAGAGGCAGGGAGATGGGATGTGGGAGGGAAAACAATGAAGCAAATATATCAATAAACACATTAAAAAAAGGCCCTGCAAAGGCTCAGATCATAGTGTACAGTGTATAAGAATTTCATTCCCATTTGTTCTCTTGAGGTAGGACAGAGAGAAAGGAAGACATTATGCTCATTTGGACAGACTTTTATTTAGTGTATAGGCCAGAGCTTGCCTTTCTAGCAGGTCACATGGGGTGGGGAGAAGTTGGAGAGAGGTCTGTATATACAAGCCTCAGAGCTAAGGGCCCCCAAACCACACAACACTGAGGGCCTTCAGGCTGGACAGATCCAGAAGGCTTCAGGGGTGAGGCAGCCTAGTATATGGGCTGGATTTCAACTGACAGAAATGGTGGAAGAACATGCCAAGCCTGCCAAGGTTCCGATGGATATTACAGAGGCAGAGAGGCCAGACAGAAAGTATGAGACTTGGCTGTACCTGGGCTGCCCATGGAAGATGAGGCCCTGTGGAATCACTGAGACATCATCTGACCAGGGCTTGAGATTCAGGGAAAAAAGCATCCCAGAAACTTATAAGGGAGCTAAAGCTGCTCAGGGAAGAACAACCTGAGTAAGGGTTAAGGTTAAGGGTTCCAGAGGGGTAAGTCCAGTTTGGGGAGAAGGGTCCTAGGGTGCCTGGCTCCAACTCTTTTCAGCTGTGACCTTGGGAAAGACGCTCCCTGCCATAAACCTCAGATCCTTTTCACAAGAGATTACTGCCTGTCTGCTGCACCCCAGAGAAAGCTCTGCAAAGAAGGCCTGGTCTCTCACAAAGGACCACACTCTAGAAGCAGCAGGAATGTGAATCCACCCCTACCCCAGAGCCTCTAGCCCTGCACTGCCAGAGGAAGGGGAAGGTTGACAGAGCACTGGCATTGCCAGGCCAGTCTGGTTTCCCAGTCACTGTCTGATCAACAGGCCTAGGGGCAGTCCCACCTTCAGGAATAAAAGGCTGAGAGGTGATATCTCATTGTGGTTTTAATTTGCATTTCCCTGATAATTAGAGATGTAGAGCATCTTTTCACGTGCCTGTTGGCCGTCTGAATTTCTTCTTTGGAGAAGTGTCTGTTCAGATCCTCCACCCATTTTTTAATTGGGTTATTTGCTTTGTGGGTGTTGAGGTGTGTGAGTTCTTTATATATTTTGGATGTTAACCCCTTGTCAGATATGTTATTTAGAAATATATTCTCCCATACTGTAGGATGCCTTTTTGTTCCGTTGATGGTGTCCTTTGCTGTACAGAAGGTTTTCAGCATGATGTAGTCCCACTTGTTCACTTTTGCTTTTGTTTCCCTTGCCCAAGGAGATGCGTTCAGGCAAAAGTTGCTCATGTTTATATTCAGGAGATTTTTGCCTACATTGTCTTTTAAAAGTTTTATAATTTCATGACTTACATTCAGGTCTTTGATCCATTTTCAGTTTACTTTTGTGTATGGGGTTAGACAATGATTCAGTTTCATTCTCTTGCATGTAGCTGTCCAGTTTTGCCAACACCAGCTGTTGAAGAGGCTGTCATTTCCCCATTGTATGTCCATGGCTCCTTTCTTGTATATTAATTGCCATATATGGTTTGGTTCATATCTGGGCTCTCTGGTCTGTTCTATTGGTCTGTGGGTCTGTTCTTGTGCCAGTACCAAATTGTCTTGATTACTGTGGCTTTGTAGTAGAGCTTGAAGTCAATTCCTCCTGCTTTATTCTTCCTTCTCAGGATTGCTTTGGCTATTCAGGGTCTTTTGTGGTTCCATATGAATTTTAGAATGATTTGCTCTAGTTCGTTGAAGAATGCTGTTGGTATTTTGATAGGAATTGCATTGAATCTGTAGATTGCTTTAGGCAGGATGGCCAATTTGACAATACTAATTTTTCCTATCCATGAGCACGGATGTTTTTCCATTTATTGGTATCTTCTTTAATTTCTCTCATGAGTGTCTTGTAGTTTTCAGAGTATACATCTTTCACTTTCTTGGTTAGGTTTATTCCTAGGTATTTTATTCTTTTTGATGCAACTGTGAATGGAATTGTTTTACTGAATTCTCTTTCTGCTAGTTCATTGTTAATAGTGGATCATATTAAATAACTCCTTCTGCATCTCTCTTCCCTACTTGTATATACCTGGAAGCCTCTAAGAAGATCTAATTCATGCCTTTAACAGCCACACTTTATTCCATCTACTGTGTCTTTGCTCGTGGTCACGTTCTAGAGTCCCATTCCCACCCTTTATGTGCTTGTTTCTTTAATCCATTAGGGAGGTTGATGGTGGAAATTACAGGTCAGGTGATAGGAAAGAGCAGTGAGAAAGCAGCAAGTGGCGTTTCTGGCTGGGTCTTACCCATCCCCTTGCTGGTGGCCAGCAGCCCTCAGCCCCCAGAGGCGGGAACCTTGACTGTGTTATTGTGAAATCATCTGTATATTGTGAAGTGCTTTGCATATGATGGAGTGATTTGCATACAGGGTATGGGGGGGTGCATCTTAGAGATCTCAGAGCAGCATCCTTGAGCGTCTTCCTCCCTTTGCAGAGAAACCAACCATGGGTTTCCACTTCAGAACTCAGCAAGGGGCACAGGAAGATGTCCTGGCAGACCTGTGAACCTGGGGGGTGGGGCTGACAGGGGGCTTTCAGAGTTGATCCCACCTGGAAGGAGTTGGGGTCTAGGAAGAGCAGACATTGAAGCATGAGGTGGGCCACTACACCAGATGCAGCATAGGAGAGTTGCATGTACCCTCAAAGCCCCCAGAAGGCGAGAGTAGCACAGGAGAGATGAAGGGTGCTACACAGAAGGCAGCTAAAGAATCAGAGGCTTGGAGAACACCCTGTCACAGTCTCTTCCAGAGTGAGTACCCATGTGCACCTTCCTGAAAATTATACAGCCCAGCCTGACTCTCAGGGATGGATGTCAAATGGAAATGCCAGGCAGGACCCTAGAAGTGAGAGGTGCTGTCACATGCTCTGGGCTCAAGGGCACCAGGTTTGAATCCTGACTCTGTCATTTGCACCACTATGTGACCCTGAACTAACACTACCCACCTCAACGGGCTAGAATAAGAATTCAGGAAGATAATGCAAATAGAGTGAATGGCCGTAGTTGGTGTTTAATTAATTGCAGTTATAACAATAATGCTTTTACTTGCTGCCCTAGTCAGAGGTCAGGCCTAGCTAGCTTCCTCTAGGTGAGGGGAGCACAGAGTCCTTGCTCCCTCAGTTATGGAGTTCTGAACGGAGCGGCACTGTCAAGCCACCGTGTTTTGGACCCCAAAGGGTTACAAGCCCTGGAGACAAAGGCCTGAGGTTCCTAGTGAAAAACCAAGGCATAAAAATAATTCGATGAGTAAGAATAAAATTCCCTCTTCTGAGGTTCCCGGGGCTAGGCCCCTCCCTGCGGCAGGCACTTCCCCTTTCCCTTGTTCATGGAGATGCCAAGCCCCGCTGACTCAGAGCTGGAGCGGTGCAGCCAAGCCACCCGCCCTGAGGCTGTGCTGTCTGGCGGCCGAGCGCGCCCCCGTGCGGCTGCAGCCGGGACTACAGACAGGCAAAGGAAACGGCCGCCAAACCCGCAAGCCCAGCCACCAGCCGCTCGCTGTCCCTGCGGAGCCTCCGCCTCTGGACCCTGCCCGGGCTGAGCGCGGTGCCCTTGGAGCTCCCACTTCCGCTCGGTTCGCCCGAGCGGAAGTGCGCCGGCCGGCCGTGTCCCCTACGGCCTCCAGGCGGAAGCGCGCTGAGGCCGCCTCTCCCACCGATCCCGCGTTGCGCTGTGCGTCGGGTTCCGGAGAGGTCCCGTGTGACGTGGCCGCGCGCCGAGGGCGGCTCCGGGCCGGGGGCCGGGCAGCCGGGCAGCCGGGCAGCCGGGCCGGGTGGGGCAGGCCCGGGGCGGGGCGCGGTTTCGCAGCTGGATGGCCGGGACAGCTCGGAGCGCTACCGCTGCCGCACGGTGAGTTACCACCCGACCTCCAGGGCCAGAGCCCGGGCTGGGACCCGCTCGATCCCCGCATCCCGGCCGGGCTTGTCTTGGTCAGACGTGGGCCTCTCGCCCAGAGCCCAGGCATTAAACTTCTGTGGGTTTTCTCTCCTGTCGCCTCACTCGTCGCTCCCCATTTCCTCCTGCTGTGCCCCTTCATGTTCTTCCCTCCCACTCTCTGTAGAGCTACAGAGCTCTCTCACTCTTGATTCTCTCTTGCTTTGTCCCTTCTCTCTCTCCGACTTTCCGTACCCCCTTCACCTCTCTCAGACCAGTGGTCCCCTCACCTCTATGTGACCTACCTCAGCCTTCAAGTATGGCCTGGCCCAGTCCTGCCTTTGATTTCATCTGGGTCTCCTGTTAAGGCCTGGAGATCCTACAAGGGGCATCTTTTCTACCTCCAGAAGCAGTGGCTTTCCACTCTTCCCATCTCCATCAGGGGATGAGAAAACTGAGGCAGGGATGTCACCAGCTCAAGGTCACAGCCAGCATGAGGCAGGGCGAACCACATTTAAACCTGCTGCCTGAGTTTCCCGATTGAACTTCTCTTTTGGTTGACTCACATCCACGTCTTGTGGATCACCCCAGCTGGGCACATTCCTGCCGTCTAGAGCTCCAGGCCTCCTCTGTCTGCCTCCTCCTCCACACCAGACACGTTCACCTGCATCAGCAAGCTCATCTCATCTTCACAACTGTGTGAGGGAGGCAATACTTAACTTCATCCTATAGACACGGAAACTGAGGTTCTGAGAAGGGACTTCAGGGACTTGCCTCCAGTGTGAAACAGGTGTAAGCCAGAGCACAAAGTTCACAGCAGGTCTCCAAAGCCTGTACTCTGCACATCTGTCAGGCAGCCCCTAACTGAGGGTTCCTTTCTCTTCAGTCCCACATCCTGTCTGTCTCCATGCCACAGGGATATGGGGCTCATTTCCTAGGAAGAAGTTCTGATGTTCCTGTCCTGGCTCAGCTTCTTAGTTTCCCCACCTATGCCTCATAATGTCACCCATCAAGCTAGAGAGTGCTGGCCTCAGTCCCTGGAACGTATTCGCTGGAGCACATCCTGGTGGCCAAGCCTCCTCTGGCAGCCAAGCACCCCATTGGGCCGGGCCTGCCGGTGGCTAAGGGGAGCCTAGCCAGGGCCTCACCCTGTCGTTAGGGAAAGTTTAGCCTCAGGCAGACATGCTGACACACAGTCTGGAGCTGGCTCAGAAGGAAAAAATGTGTGGATTTGGGAGTGGGGTTTGAAGAAGCAGAGCTTCTTCACTTTGTGCACCCATCATTTGGGTCCTCAGAGGCCCCGGGCACGCCAAGCAGGAGGGCGGATGCCATGGCCACTTGTAGTGGGAGGAGGGTTAAGATGCCACGTTTCCTAAGCAGGTGTGCAGCCAAGGGTGGCAGCTCACGTCAGTGGCCTTTGTGTTTTTCAGCACGTGGCATGCCTGGATGCCCCTGCCCCTGTTGTGGCATGACGGGCCAGAGGCTCCTCTTCCTCACTGCTCTTGCCCTGGAGCTCCTAGGAGGGACTGGGGGTTCCCAGCAGGCCCTCTGGAGCTGGGGGGCTGCCACAGCATGTCACCTGGACAACAAGGAAAGTGAATCCTGGGGGACCCTGCTGAGTGGGGAGAGGCTGGATACCTGGATCTGCTCCCTCCTGGGCTCCCTCATGGTGGGGCTCAGCGGGGTTTTCCCACTGCTCATCATTCCCCTGGAGATGGGGGCCACGCTGCACTCAGAAGGTGGGTGCCCCTCCTCTGGTGCCCAAGGGTGGCCAGCAGCAGGGCAAACATGCTTTCTTCCTGGGAGAACAAGGTCTCACATCCCGGGTTACAGTGTGTCTGAGGTGAAGGAGGGGACAGAATACAGTTTCTCACCTTGGTCCTCTGAGACTGGGGTATGCCATGTTCACTTGTCTTCGTGTGTACATGGGTTCATTTATTCTGAAAGAATAAAAGTCAACAAACATTTACCTAGAAGCAGTACAGATAGGCTGCCTGGGCTCAGATCCTGGCTCTGCCACTTACCAGCTGGGTGGCACTGGGCAAACTACTTAACTTCATTCTGCCTCCAGCACCCAACCTTAACAATGGGGATGATAATAGTATCTACTTCATTGGCACTGTTGAGAAGATTTAATGAACTAATATTGGTAAAGCACTCAGAGGACTGCCTGGTGTAGGAAAAGGGCTACTATTCACGGGCCCTGTGCTGGGTACATATGCAGGGGCCAGCAGAGTGTCACCTCTCCCTTCAGTCTCTGCTTATGCTGCAAAAGAACCCTCAGACTGAGGGCCCTGGCTGGCCTTATTCAGGAATATGTGGGAGGCTGGCTGCAGGCCCGCCTTTGGGAAGGGGACCTCTCGAGCAGCACACAGGCCGGTGTGCAGGTTCTTCCTTGGCATTTCTGTCACACCGTGTGCATGTCTGTTCACAAATGCCATGTCATAATGAAAAATACACAACGTCAGATGAGGAGTGCCGTGGTCCGGAGCATCAAAGTGAGTGGCCCACTCAGGGTCCCCTCCTCTTACAGCCACCCCCACCCCAAGTGGCAAGCCCAGCTCAGCCCTGCCTTTCCAGCTCAGCCTGGCTTACTCTCCCTTCACCCAGGTCAGTGGCTATCCTCACCCAAGAGTGTGACACCCAAGGTCTGGACCAGGGCTCCAGGAATCTGTTTGAAATGAGTGCCCCAGGGGCTTGTACTGCCTCCAGGCTTGGAAACTGTTCATCCAGCAGATGGTTATGAACACATCTATGCCAGGTGCTGGGCTGCGGGTTGGCACCACAGCTGTGAACGGAGCCCTCTTGGGTCCCTGCTGTCATGTCTGTGCATCCTATCATCTCAGCTCTTCATGGCATCCTTGTCGGGTCAGTGCAGGGAGGACTTGGATTATTAGCTCCATTTTACCAGTGGGATGGTACAGGCACAGAGAGGTTCTTTGACCAGCCTAAAGTCACACAGCCTGGGAGTAGCAGCTTCCCATGGGATCCTCCATAACCCCCACCAAGCTGCCTCTGGGCCTCAATTTCTCTATCAAACAAAGGGTTTGGACATGGCCTCTCAGGGCACTACCAACTGTGGATGCTGCAAGTCTGCCAAAGTCCCCAAATCTGCCACTTTTCTGACAGTACAGTAGCTGAAAAAGTTCCCATTTAGTGAGGACTTGCTATGGATACGGTCTTGTAATTCTCACAAAATCCCTATTGGATCGATATAATTATCCCGATTTACAAATGGGGAAACAGAGTCCCAGAAGTACTCTGCCCAAGGTCATCAGCTGGTGGAGATGATGGAGAGCTGAAACCTGTTGGGCTTCAAAGCCCATCTCTTAACCATGAAGCAGTAGAGGCTCCACAGTCATCTAGCAGTTGTGTATTCCTGCTGAACACCTAGCCCTTGCTGGGCCTGGGGACCTAGGAAGGACAGCAGCCCCCATCCAGCCTTCTGGAGGCTTACAGTCTGATTGAGAAAAACAGAGCCCATTGAACTGGGTGGGGTAGACTCTGATGGGTCGGCCCCAGGCGCCCCATCTCTACCTTGTAGCTGGGGCCCAGCGCCTGAAGCAGCTGCTCAGCTTTGCCTTGGGGGGCCTCTTGGGCAACGTGTTTCTCCACTTGCTGCCTGAGGCGTGGGCCTACACGTGCAGCACCAGCCCTGGTGAGTGAGGCCACAGGCCGGGAGCAGAAGGGTGGGGGGCTGGAGGGGAGCTGCACCCATGCCTGCAATGGCCTAGGCCCTGCCTGCTCTGCCAGAATGACCAGGAGAGGGGTGCCGTGCATCTGCCAGGGGACTTGTCCTGGTCCCAGCACCCTGGCTCCTGTGGGAGTTCCTGGGGCCCAGCTGCCCCACTGGCCAGTCCTGGCCCCCTTGCCCTGTCACTGCCCTGGACTAGGACCCATTCCAGATGGTCCTCCTCCTGTGTCGGTACTGCCCCCTGCAGGTGGCAAGGGGCAGAGCCTTCAGCAGCAGCAGCAGCTGGGGCTGTGGGTCATCACTGGCTTTCTGACCTTCCTGGCGCTGGAGAAGATGCTCCTGGACAGCAAGGAGGAGGAGGAGACCAGCCAGGTGAGTCCCAGATCCCAGGACCTGGAGAGGTCAGCCTCTGTTCTGTAGTGGTGCCAGGGAGGCCTAAGCTCTGAGTTGAACCCTGAAAAGAGGGTCTCCTGACCTTTCCTGGGAGCTCTGGGAGGCTGGGCCAGCTTGTTTGGAAGGATCTGGAGAGTGAGGCATCAGCCCCTGCTATAGCTTGTTCTTACAGACTGATAGTGATGGTGGCGTGAGAGGCTGATGGTCTGTGGAGTTTAGGGGCACCTGGGTGATTGAGCAGTCAGAAGCCTAGCCAGATAAAAGGGCTATTTCCCTTCTGTTTTTCCATCAATCCCCTTCTGTGTGTACCCTGGCCAAGTGAGGGGCATCTAATGTCACCTCTCCCTCCTCCCGGCCCTAGGCCTCCAGCAAAGACCCAGCTGCTGCTGCCGTGCTCAATGGAGGCCACTATCTGGCCCAGCCAGCTGCAGAAACTGGCGTGAGTGCTGTGGTCCGGAGCATCAAAGTGAGTGGCCCACTCAGGGCCCCCTCCTCCTACAGCCACCCCCACCCCAAGTGGCAAGCCCAGCTCAGCCCTGCCTTTTCAGCTCAGCCTGGCTTACTCTCCCTTCACCCAGGTCAGTGGCTATCTTAACCTCCTGGCCAACACCATAGACAACTTCACTCATGGGCTTGCTGTGGCTGCCAGCTTCCTTGTGAGCAAGAAGGTGAATGGGGTTGGGGAAGGTGGGACCCAAGCAGTTCTAGTGAAAATGGTGCCTGTTGGCTCTGCCTTCAAAACAGGTCTCCAGTCTATCTCCTTCCTGTCCCTCCATCACCAACACCCTTATCTAAGCCCCCAGGACTCCTGCCACTCAGCCTTCTTTTGTTCCAAACCACTAGTCTATTCTCCTTGCTGTGAACACTCCTTATTGGGTCCACATGCCTCTGCCTGGTTTTAGATGCTTCTCTCCCACCTCCTTCCTCTGCCCTCTATGCTCTGGCCCCAGTTGTTTGCCTACTCTTGACCTGGCTGAGTTCTTTCCCTGTCATCACCTCCAAATCACACTATTTCGTCTGCCTGAAATGTTCTTCCTTCCACTCTTTGAACCACTGGCTCCTCATCCTTCAGGCCTCTACTTAAACGTACTTCCTTAAAGAGGCCCGCATTACTCATGGCCCATGGCACATATCCTTTTCCCCCAGCACCTGGCACAGTGTGTAATCACGCTGTTATTCATGTTTATTCAGTGCCTGCCTCTCCCCTCCAGATCATCAGCTTCATGAAGGCAGTTTTCTTGTCTTTTTCATTTGCTGCTATATTTCTAATAGCCAAACATTACCTGGCCAGAGCACTCAGAGTAAATATTTGTAGAATAAGTGGAGAAGTGGGTGCCCTGGCCCTTGGTACAGACTCCCACAGACTCTACTCCCTGCAGATTGGGCTCCTGACCACCATGGCCATCCTCCTGCATGAGATCCCCCATGAGGTTAGTGCCAGAGGGTCAGCATTGTGGGTGTGGAGCCTGGGGGAGGGATTTGGGATGGGACTGCCCACCAGTGGCAGGCTTGAGGGCTGGACTTCTGAGGCTTGGAACTGCTCAGCCCACCAGGTGGCAGCCACCATCTCAGCTTTGCTCTAGCCTCCTTGGGCCTGGGGTCCCAGACAAGGGGGAATGTGGGCTGGGGGGCTCAGTGACAGGGCTGGTGCAGGGGACTTGGTGCTCATGTCCATATCCGAGGTGTTCAGGGGGCCTGGCTCCACTGAAGCCCAGAATGATCATCTGGACCTCCCCTCAGGTGGGCGACTTTGCCATCCTGCTCCGAGCCGGCTTTGACAGATGGAGCGCAGCCAAGCTGCAGCTCTCGACGGCACTGGGGGGCCTGCTGGGTGCCTGCTTCGCCATCTGTACACAGTCCCCCAAGGGAGTAGGTATGGGCGTGGTGGGTAGAGGGCCCCAGCCAAAGGGCACAGATGCTTGCCCCTGGTGTCCAGGCTGGGTCCCGCCTCCAGTCAACCCTGCGGGAGGGGATGCAGTGAACTGCACATGTCTCCTCGGGGCTCCTAGCCAACTGGGACTCCTCTTTCCTTGGCAGAGGAGACTGTGACCTGGATCCTGCCCTTCACCTCTGGGGGCTTTCTCTACATTGCCCTGGTGAATGTGCTGCCTGACCTCTTGGAGGAAGATGACCCATGGTGAGTAGCACACTGGGACTGCCATCCTTAGAGCCCTTAGGGATCGAGGAGGAGGCACTATGCCCCCCGCCCCATCAGCATCCCCCTAGCGCCTTCCTAGTGCCCCTCTGAGCCCCGCCTACCCCCACAGGCGCTCCCTACAGCAGGTGCTGCTGCTCTGCGCTGGCATAGTGGCGATGGTGATGTTCTCACTCTTCGTGGAGTGACCACCCAACGGTTCACCCCACACAGTGATAAGAGGCCCGGATTCACTCTGTGACCATCTGTGCGGCAGAGAACCAGAGTCTAAGAGAGTGCACCTCCAACCAGATGAGAGGAGAGTGTCTGTGTGTGTGCAGGTGTGACCAGAGATGTGTGAGACCGACACTGTGATCCCTCATGCTCTGGGCCCAGAGCCTGATGCCCGCGCCCATCCCTGGCCACACTGTGGCTTCTCTCCTTGCTACCCTGTCACCTTGCACTTCCCAGAGTGAGCAATGAGGAACAGCAGCATTGGTCCCAAGCAGAGGCTTCTCCCCACCAGGACCCCAGGGGCAGTGAGCATGGCCCAAGGAGCCTAGGGCTGCAGGAAGCCCCGCAATGGTCACCCCCTGGGGCCTCATGGGTCCCTCGCCTGAGATGAACCCCACTGGTCATGACCTGGCAGCCTAGGGGCCAAGGCTGGGGCGCCTTCTCTCTGCTGTGTTCTTTGGCAGCTTGAAAACCAAAGAAAGGAGGGGCAGGGGTTCATGGAGCCATACCTGGCCCAGCATGGAGCTGGGAGTTGCTAAAACCTTTTCCTTCTGGTAGCCCTCCCGCCCTGGGCCAGCTCCTGCTCCCTGGGAGCACCAGCAGCTCTTGCCACCTCCAGCTGCCAGACAGCAGCCTGCAAGGCAGCATGCAGCTCCTGGACAGAGGCCCCGTGGTCCAGCTCAGGGATGCTCATGGCAGCAGGGTCCAGGAAGCGACCTAGGGCAGGGAGGATGAGCCGCAGCTGCCACCCCTGCTTGGGCCCCTTTTCCTGTCCCTTTGGGTGGGGGTAAGGTAGGGGTGGGAGGGCTCCTGGCCATCATCACTCAGGAATGTGCTCTTGGAGAATGCTAAAGCCATAATCCCCAGCTATTTCCCTTGGCTGACGCCCAGGTACTCAGCTGGCCCACTCCACAGCCAGGCTTCAGCCTTGCTGCCCAACTGTGGACGTTTTGAGAAGTGGCCATGAAGAGAGTCTGAAAGCTTTTACAGCAGTTTTGCTCTGGTTCTGTTTGTATCTGTAAATACCTATTCTATAGATAAAGGTGCAAATAAATATTAAATACAAACTGGCTGCCTCTGTTCTGCATACCAGAGTCCATGGCCAGGGGCCTTTCAGGGCACCCTATGCTTCAGCCAGGTCAGCTGCTCTGGAGACCCCGCTCTGGCTAGCCACTAGTTGCTCTCCTCAGTCATCCCCACCTCCTAGCCCTTCTCAGTGCTCATCTCTTAATTATTATCCTTGCAGTGCATCTCAGAACAGGGTAGAGCATTTCAGTTTCCCTGGCTTGTTTTGTTGTTAGCTTTTATCCCAATAATACAAGTCACTCTGAATATGCTGTTGTAGCCCATGTTACCCCCATTGGTTGTCCTCTGAGCCAGGGGCTTTTCTCCAGCCTGCCTCCTGAGTAACAATTTAACCAAGCGAAGGAACTGCACCTACAAAGTCATCTCCAGGTTTGGCCTCAATAAAATTATTTTTCATTAGAAAAGAAAAGAAATACAGAAAATACTCTAAACCCCACACCCTCACCTCCTCCCTCCTATCAGGCATGGTGGGGGTGGGGGTAAGGGCACTGCTTCCCCACAGCGCTCTTAGAATGGGGCAGAGTCCCACTCCTCTCCAAGCCAAGCAGGGCCATCTTCAACAGGCCACTGGCTTGACAGCAGCATGCGATTTAGCACAGAAGCTATGAGCCCAGGTCAACTACATCCTCCACTGGGAGTGCCTGGCCCTGACTCAGTAACCTACAGCAAAGAGATCTGCTTCATGGGGGTGAATCCAGGACTCAGCGAGCCTGGTTCGGAGAGAACCAGGGAAGAAACCCAGGGCTGCCCTGCCAGCCCCCACCCTCCCCTTGGCAGCACTGGGGATGCTGCCTCTGGTGAGCACCTGACAGGTGACAGATGCACATGCTTGCTGTCAGGGCACTTAGCCCCTGAGGGAGGCAGTGGAGCCCCATTTACAGATGAAGAAGCCAAGGTATGGGATGGCGCCACAGCCAGGTGAATGTCCTAACTGGTTAGAAGGGGGAACAAGGAATGCTTAAGTGGAGGAAGCTTATTGCAGGGCAGGGGACAAAAACCAGACACACTTCAGAGGCTGGTAGAGGGTGGGAAGTCGATGGGATTGCAAAGGAGCCATGCAGGTGGCACCAGGACATTTGGGAAGGTGGCCTGGAGGCAGTGGGACTAGAAAGTTAAGAGTCAAAACTAGGAAGGAGCTAAGTCCTCTAGATAGACTGATGCAGTTGGTAGCTCACTGTGAACACGTCCACTTGGGGAAGGGGACGGGAAAAGGACAGTGTAGCGGCTTTTGCCAGAGGGCAGTGGGATAAAAGTTCTTAAAGGCCATTCAAGGGGCTGCCAAAGCCACTGGTAAAAGCTGATGTTTATTAAGCTTTTTTTCTCAGACCTGGGTTTGAGTCCCAGCAATGTCATCTAACAGTTGTGTAGTCTTTCTCCAGTTGCTTAAATGAATCTATAAAATGGGGATATCCTATTGGTGGTTACTGAGAAAACTGGGTAAATTATGCTCAGGACCTGTGTGGCACACGGCCCAGAGTGAGCCCTCAGTGACTGGTGAACCACACCAGGTCAGGCGCCATGTTGGGGAGCCATAAGGTTAGTGGTGAAAGCGCAGCACAAAGAAAACAGACCACTCGGCTGCTGCCCCTTCAGGTCTCAATGCCTTGCTCATGTCCTTGTTCACCTGACATTCATCTTTCTGGAATGGATCTGCATGATTCTGGCCCGGGCCTCCTCATTGGGCATCGGGAACTCGATCTTGCGGTCCAGGCGGCCTGAGCGGAGCAGGGCAGGGTCCAGGATGTCCACCCTGTTAGTGGCTGCAATTACCTGAGCAAAGGGGGAAGCAGTAACTTGAACTGAGGATGGGGTTCACAGACAGACAACAGTCATGGCCGTGACAGACAGTGAGGCAGCCTGAGGTCTGGGTCAAACAGCATGGGGCATTAAAGACAGGCCCCAATTCTAATTCTAGCTGCAGCAGCTAGGTGACTGAGAAGGTCCCCTGACCTCTAAACCCTATGTGTATAGTCACAACAATGCTCACCTTTACTTGGGTGTTGGGCTGGAACCCATCCAACTGGTTCAGAAGCTCCAGCATCGTCCTCTGTACCTCCCGGTCCCCAGCCTTCTCACTGTCAAAGCTGGGCCACGCAGGAGGCCCAAGAGACGGTGAGGCCGCAACTCAGGCACAGCCCTCCCCTCCTCTACCCACCAGAAGCCCAACCCAGCCTATGCAGACAGGGAAATGTCTCCCTCAACTTGGAACCCCAGCCTAGGAACTGGCACAGAAAAGGTGTCACAGACTGGAGAGGCTCTTGGGATCAGGTGCCAGGATAAGGGTAAAATGGTGAGCAAACCAGCCACTACCTGCGCTGGCCTCCCATGAATGTGCCACTGCAAACTGAGCTAAAGCTTAGAAATACAGGGTCCAGTCCAGACTTGGAACGTAAGAGGGAACCCAGGCAGGAATCCCTGAAAAAAATGTCTCTTGGGCAGAGAGGTAAAGGCTGAAATCATACTGGCTCAGCAACCAACCAATGAGAATGGGGAAAAGGAAAAACATTCCAGAAAGGGAATAGCAGGTGTGAAATCGCTCCCACCAGAGTCAGAATAGGCCTGCAAACCCAGGAGATGCTGTGGAGGAAGTCCAGAGGAAAGGGGGAGGTGAGGGTGGGTCTAGGATGAGGCCAGAGAGCTCTAAGGGCAGCCACACAGGAAGTTCTTGCAGTCCATGGTCAAGGCAGCATTTATCCCAGGAAGCAATGGAGACGTCCATGAAGGGTTTTAAGTGGGATCTACTTGTGTGAGGGACTGTGGGTGCCTGTGAGTGAAATGACCAGGTTTTGAAAATAACATGCTGGCAGCTGAGAGAGAATAGATAGCCAGGAAAAAGACGGCAGTCAGCACTCCCTTACCGCTTGGTGCCGATGGCATCCAGCTCATCAATGAAGATGATAGACGGAGCTTTCTCCTTGGCCAGAGCAAAGGCATCCCGGACCAGCTTGGCACCATCCCCAATGAACATCTGCACCAGCTGAGGGCCAGCCAGCTTCAGAAAGGTAGCCTGGGGGGCAAAGTGTGGTATAATCAGGTCAAAGGTACCACGAGAGGCCCTTATGAGCCTGTTTCCCCCCTACCCCTCCCAGGACTCACCTTGGTCTGCGCGGCACAGGCTCGGGCCAGCAGGGTCTTCCCCGTGCCTGGGGGCCCATACATCAGCACCCCCTTTGGAGGCTGGATCCCCAAGTTCTCGAACTTCTCTTTGTGGTTCATCGGCAAGACAATGGCCTCCACCAGCTGCCAGAAAGAAGTCCTGAGTGTGGAGAGAGAAGCCCTAAAGGCTCCTACAGCCAACTTTCAATGGCATCAGCCCCAATCTGCAACCCTCTACTCCAATTCAGGGCCATTGCCCTCTCTTTCCCCCACATCAAAAGAACACAAAATGCTGACTCCCATGAAGGCTGGCTACAGTCTCTCCAGGAACAGCAGGATTTAGTAGAAAGGCACTGGGGCAACAACAACAAAGAAGACTTGAGTCCCAGTCCTGGCTCTAGCCCTACTCTCCTGTGCCCCTGGACAAGTCATTTAAATCTCTCTGGACCCCCGTTTCCTAAACTGTGACACAGTACCCTCCATGCCTCCTTAGGATGCTATGAGGATAAGAGACACATTGTGGGAAGTGCTCTGGCCAATGAAGTTTAAAACACAAAAGGCTGACAAGGCTGCTTGTGGCTGCCATGTCTCCCTCACCTCCTGAATCTGCTTGTCCAGGCCTCCAATGTCACTGTATTGCTCTGTGGGCCTCTCATCCACCTCCATGGCTTTCACTTCCCGCCCTGACAAGTGGTTTGAGGCCCTTGGCTGTCTCAGGTTTCTATGCAGCGGCACCTGGGGAAGGCACCTCACGCATATGCCCCCACTCTAACCCCCAGAGCCCAGGTATGGTGAGAAAGACAGTGGCAGAGACTGGAAACCATCTTTTATTACGAATTTGAAAAAGTAGGACACCAAGGAGCAGGGGTGGAGGGCACCCTAGGCGTAGTACTGCAGGTTGGCTTTTTTCTTGGCCTGCACCTCCAGGATGCCCTCCATGTAGTCCTCGTGAGTGAGCTCCGTGGCGCCCCTGCGCAGTGCAATCATGCCCTGCACCCAGAATGGACAAGCTCAAGGGTGCTTTCCATACCTTTGGCCCAGCTCCCAAAGGCCTTGACCTTCTCAGCCTCTTGCCCTCAGCAGTGTCCGCCAGCCAAATGCCCATCCTATCCAGGGAAGGGGACAAGAAGGCACAAAGCCCCCCCCCCAACCCCACTCTATCACTCACCGCCTCCACACACACAGCCTTGCACTGGGCCCCATTAAAATCATCCGTACAGCGGGCCAGCTCCTCGTAGTTCACATCAGGACTGAGGAAGAGGACAAACACCACAGGGTTATTTATGAGGAGGGTATACCTTCCCATACTCCCCTGTCAAGAAGTGAAATCAACTCGCCCTGTGATCATAGGCAAGACCCCTTCCTACTGTGTCTTGCTCTCTTCTCATTAACAAGATGTAGAAAGGAGGTAGTGAAAGCAGGTTCCTTCTGTCTCTTGAGCTCTATCCTTACTGATTCAGTCTGAGGCAGGGGAGCAGGAAGTTGTGGAGACAAAGGATGAGCATCTCTCCCCTCCCCCAAGTAGCAGAGGCCCTGCGTCACCACAGCAGCACTGTTGCCACTTACTGGATTCGTGTGCCAAGCACTGCACATGACATTGCCACAACCCCATGAGATCGGTTCCATTATCCCCAAGTCCCAGGTAAGAAACTCAGGCTTAGAGAGGTTATGCCACCTACTGAAGGTCACAAAGATCTGAACCCAGTCCATCTGGCCCCTGGCTGAATTCCCCTTGGGACGTATTGGGCTTTGATCACTTGCTGGGGTGGGAGTGAGGGCCTCTAGCCTGTGAACCTTCAGATCACAGGGGAGGAGGGAGGCGGGTGGAATCTAAGGAACAGAGCCCCCAGAATGAAGCCCCAGCAAGATTCTACCTCAGGCCTCAGAGGAGAAATGGAGGCTGGCATGTGGAACAGTGCTGTGTTTGAATAGGGAGGGAAAGGATGTTAAGAATCCTGGGAAAGCGCAGCACAAAGAAAACAGACCACTCGGCTGCTGCCCCTTCAGGTCTCAATGCCTTGCTCATGTCCTTGTTCACCTGACATTCATCTTTCTGGAATGGATCTGCATGATTCTGGCCCGGGCCTCCTCATTGGGCATCGGGAACTCGATCTTGCGGTCCAGGCGGCCTGAGCGGAGCAGGGCAGGGTCCAGGATGTCCACCCTGTTAGTGGCTGCAATTACCTGAGCAAAGGGGGAAGCAGTAACTTGAACTGAGGATGGGGTTCACAGACAGACAACAGTCATGGCCGTGACAGACAGTGAGGCAGCCTGAGGTCTGGGTCAAACAGCATGGGGCATTAAAGACAGGCCCCAATTCTAATTCTAGCTGCAGCAGCTAGGTGACTGAGAAGGTCCCCTGACCTCTAAACCCTATGTGTATAGTCACAACAATGCTCACCTTTACTTGGGTGTTGGGCTGGAACCCATCCAACTGGTTCAGAAGCTCCAGCATCGTCCTCTGTACCTCCCGGTCCCCAGCCTTCTCACTGTCAAAGCTGGGCCACGCAGGAGGCCCAAGAGACGGTGAGGCCGCAACTCAGGCACAGCCCTCCCCTCCTCTACCCACCAGAAGCCCAACCCAGCCTATGCAGACAGGGAAATGTCTCCCTCAACTTGGAACCCCAGCCTAGGAACTGGCACAGAAAAGGTGTCACAGACTGGAGAGGCTCTTGGGATCAGGTGCCAGGATAAGGGTAAAATGGTGAGCAAACCAGCCACTACCTGCGCTGGCCTCCCATGAATGTGCCACTGCAAACTGAGCTAAAGCTTAGAAATACAGGGTCCAGTCCAGACTTGGAACGTAAGAGGGAACCCAGGCAGGAATCCCTGAAAAAAATGTCTCTTGGGCAGAGAGGTAAAGGCTGAAATCATACTGGCTCAGCAACCAACCAATGAGAATGGGGAAAAGGAAAAACATTCCAGAAAGGGAATAGCAGGTGTGAAATCGCTCCCACCAGAGTCAGAATAGGCCTGCAAACCCAGGAGATGCTGTGGAGGAAGTCCAGAGGAAAGGGGGAGGTGAGGGTGGGTCTAGGATGAGGCCAGAGAGCTCTAAGGGCAGCCACACAGGAAGTTCTTGCAGTCCATGGTCAAGGCAGCATTTATCCCAGGAAGCAATGGAGACGTCCATGAAGGGTTTTAAGTGGGATCTACTTGTGTGAGGGACTGTGGGTGCCTGTGAGTGAAATGACCAGGTTTTGAAAATAACATGCTGGCAGCTGAGAGAGAATAGATAGCCAGGAAAAAGACGGCAGTCAGCACTCCCTTACCGCTTGGTGCCGATGGCATCCAGCTCATCAATGAAGATGATAGACGGAGCTTTCTCCTTGGCCAGAGCAAAGGCATCCCGGACCAGCTTGGCACCATCCCCAATGAACATCTGCACCAGCTGAGGGCCAGCCAGCTTCAGAAAGGTAGCCTGGGGGGCAAAGTGTGGTATAATCAGGTCAAAGGTACCACGAGAGGCCCTTATGAGCCTGTTTCCCCCCTACCCCTCCCAGGACTCACCTTGGTCTGCGCGGCACAGGCTCGGGCCAGCAGGGTCTTCCCCGTGCCTGGGGGCCCATACATCAGCACCCCCTTTGGAGGCTGGATCCCCAAGTTCTCGAACTTCTCTTTGTGGTTCATCGGCAAGACAATGGCCTCCACCAGCTGCCAGAAAGAAGTCCTGAGTGTGGAGAGAGAAGCCCTAAAGGCTCCTACAGCCAACTTTCAATGGCATCAGCCCCAATCTGCAACCCTCTACTCCAATTCAGGGCCATTGCCCTCTCTTTCCCCCACATCAAAAGAACACAAAATGCTGACTCCCATGAAGGCTGGCTACAGTCTCTCCAGGAACAGCAGGATTTAGTAGAAAGGCACTGGGGCAACAACAACAAAGAAGACTTGAGTCCCAGTCCTGGCTCTAGCCCTACTCTCCTGTGCCCCTGGACAAGTCATTTAAATCTCTCTGGACCCCCGTTTCCTAAACTGTGACACAGTACCCTCCATGCCTCCTTAGGATGCTATGAGGATAAGAGACACATTGTGGGAAGTGCTCTGGCCAATGAAGTTTAAAACACAAAAGGCTGACAAGGCTGCTTGTGGCTGCCATGTCTCCCTCACCTCCTGAATCTGCTTGTCCAGGCCTCCAATGTCACTGTATTGCTCTGTGGGCCTCTCATCCACCTCCATGGCTTTCACCCGTGAGTCGTACTCTGTGGGCAGGGTCTCCAGGATCAGATAGGAGTCTTTGTTCACACCCTGAGGACACAGCACGAAGCCTTCAGATTTGTCCCAGCTCAATGCCTAACTAATTGGCTGGGTTTCAGGTGTCTGTAGAGTGAAAGGAAAGATGTGGGACTGGGCGACACAAGAATCAAAGAGTAGGTAGACAAGTTTTGACTTTCTAGGCTGCTCTGCCATGATTCAGGGCCAATATTCACATGGGCCTGGGGCAGAGGCTCAGCTAGTCAGGGGGAGAAATCTCACTAAAAAAGCCACGCCTGGGCTCAGGGACATTACTCACCACCAAGTCCCCTGGCTTCAGCTTCTCAGCATCCACCAGCCCAATCACTGGCAGGAAGTATGTCTGTAGGAAGGATTGCAGGTACAAACTCAGTTCCTGCCCTCAGAAGGGCTCTCTAGCCAGGTCCACATCCACCCCTCAGCTTCTTTGGTTCTGTTGCAGAGCCAGCCTCACCTGTCGTGTAGAGGTTTTGATCACCGCACATTTGCCCTTCCTCTGGGAGTCCAGGTCAATATTGGCACCATCCTCCTCCTGGTCATTGGGATCAACATCCAGAAGCTGGAAAGGGAAAAGCTCAGGTCAACAGGCCCTCTCAGCTCCTTGAGTTCTCCACAGTCCAGTGCATCTGGGGCCAAGACAATCCCAACAGTTGCTGGGCTGGCATCCCCACCTCATTCCTCAGATCAGACCAGTAAAGGTACAGTTGGTAAGCCAGGGAATTGATAGCATCTCTGTCTAGGTGTTGTTTCTCTGCACAGAGTCCATCTACCCCCTAGCAGAAGAGGAGATATGTGAGGCTTCTGAGGCCTTTTCAGGCCCTATATATCCTCAGGGAGGGGGCCCTAGGAGGTGTAGGTCTAACATGCAATTTGAGCCTCAAAACTTCCACCCGCTCTTTTCCCAATGGCCGCATCACAGGCTGTCTTCAAGTTCCACTGACCCTGACCCCCTCTTCCCCTCCACATACACACACACCTCAATGACGTTAGAGACAAGGTACGGTAGGGTCTTGTTCACTTTGATTTTCTCACTGTTCTCTTTGATCTTGTCCTTCATGGCCTGGAGTTCATGGGTGACTCGCAACACTTCGCTCTTCATGATCTGGGGGAATGAGAGTTAATGGAAGCAAATGTTCTGCCTTGGCTCAGCTTACCCTAGACCCCTGTAATTGGTGAAGTCCAGGTTGCCCAGAGGACCCTCCCACATCCATTCTCTAAAGCTCCATGGTTCTCTGAAAGCTGAGCTTGTGTTCACACCCAGCAAAAGTCAGAACAGGCCAGTTTAGAAACTTCCTGGTGAAGTAGTTATAGTAGAGGAAAAAGAGCAGGACTTTGAGTCAAGCAAATATAGCTTTGGGGTTCTGCCTCTTAATAAGAGCTGGATATTTTTACCATAACAAAAAACACTCTGAGCCTCAGTTTCCTCACCTGTAAAA